CTCTCTCTCTCTCTCTCTCTCTCTCTCTCTCTCTCTCTCTCTCTCTCTCTCTCTCTCTCTCTCTCTCTCTCTCTCTCTCTCTCTCTCTCTCTCTCTCTCTCTCTCTCTCTCTCTCTCTCTCTCTCTCTCTCTCTTCTAATACCAAAATACTTCATCGATAAATCTATGTATAACAAAATTCTAAGGTGTTCTCTCGACTCTGCCTCCACAAGAAAAAAAAACATTATTTTCTGGGATTTGGAATTTTCTTTTTCTATGTTGAAATCAATCTGTGCTCTATCTGTCGCCTATCTATCTACCTTTCATGGAAACAGCTTTAACCTCGTTCTCGAAGCTCGAACAACGATTGAGATTCGAGAGCATTAATCCTAAATTCGATTGGTTCGCGCAGAAAACGGAGAAGGCGGAGAAGGTCGAGGCGAAGAAGACAAAAGTTGCGAAAACGGCCAAGGAGAAGAGCTACGAGCTTCCAGAGATTCCAGATTACGAGCGGCCCGTGCTGGAGAAGCCGCAGGAGTTCGACTTTGGGGAGCACGTGGCTCGAGACAAGACTAAGCTGGAAAGACCAGCGACGCAGGTAAGGGAAGAATATTATTATTTTCTTCTTATTTTTATCGATTAAGTGAGATTACACGTATTTTATTAAATATGTCATTTGTACCTGGACACTAATCAATTTTCTTTTCACGCGGCCGGGCAGAAATTCGAATCCAAGGTGAGCAATCGATCAGTTATTATTAATACGGGAATAAGAAAACGAAATTTGCCAAATTGCTGCCCGCTTCGCTTTTGCATCAGATACAGAGGAAGATTTTGCAACGTCCCCGGTTAAATACTATCGCGTCTTCTTCCCTCGAATTTCGTAACCGATTCTCCATCGGTTTTTAACATCGATGAAAACGGGAGAAATCGGGCGATGTGCAAGATTCAATGGTTGAAGTTACGAATAAAGTTACTTAAAGTTAATTTAAATCGTAATAACAATTGCTAAATAACTGATAGTGGCAAACGATCGAAATTTATTATGAAAATCGGATCGGCTGTAACAGCTGCAACGAATAAATGTTATTCGAGCATTTTAACAAGTAATTATTCATTCAAAATACAAACTTTATTCGAAATTTTTAACTTTTTCAACGGGTTCGACTTCGATCGGCGAGAGATCGGTTGATCGTTAAATCCTTTTCTCGGATTCTCGATCGTGGTTTTTGACGAAACGTCGAAATACCCGGAGCGACACCCGGTTTCGAGCTTTTAATTAACGCAACACGATCGCACGTACTAATAATCGAACGAATAAAATCATCGTTTGGCAACCGATGAATCCTCCCTCTCTCCTCTATCAACCAAAGAGATGGGGAGAGGGGGGAATATTTTGGCAAATAACTGGCTCGTATATCACGCCCCTCGGATCCCTGATTTTTCGACTCGAAAATTAGGATGGAGAAAATGTCGTTCGCTATTTTTGGTCTTATTACGTCCCTCCTGCCTCGTGCCCGCCATATCTCTTCGCTTCGATTTCACCCGACCGATTTCAGAGGGATCAGTCTCGACTCGGGCTTAATCTCGTCACGACCATCGACGCGAATTCGTCCCATCGACGACCAATCTCGATTTACTGGTAAATTCGATCGTGTTCGCCCGTGTTTCTCTCTTTTTCTCTTTTTTTTCTTTTTCTTTTTTCTTCTCTCTCTTTCTCTCTCTCTCTCTNTCTCTCTCTCTCTCTCTCTCTCTCTCT